GTTATTACAAAGTTAAGTCGTACACTGTGTGCATAACTAATAAAAATCTTACGTTACGGACGTTTTTTCCCGGTTAGGGTACCCCTCCGCATCGTCCCATAAGGAACATCGTTCCAAAAACCAAAGCTGCATTACTGGGCTTCGATCAATGATCTCTTCGGGCTTTTGATGAGTTGAGCACAAACCCGCGCGCTTTCGTCATCCAAAATGTATCACTTATATATTTATCAAATTGGAAAAGAAGCAAGTCTCTAATAAAAGATCCAATAAAAGTATAATAACCTAACTTTTTTTGTTTTTATTTCGCTTGTAGGCAGACGAGCATACGGCCCACCTGACGGTGAGTGGTTACCGCCGCTTATCAACGACAGCAATACCAGAGGCAGAGCCAAGCCGTTGCCTACCGTTTAAAATTCTCGACATCTGCTCATAAAACGATAAATAATAATCGTACGTAGAATTCAAAGTGTAATAAACGCATACTTTATCTCGACCTAAAAACACTTCCGACTTCTAAACCATCATTGACGGAAACTAGCACAGGTTAATGGCGGGGATTCGTTAATTAATTAGTGGACAGAATAGGTGTCGTCACGCGATCTTAGATGGCGTTCTTAGCGCCCCACATTCCGAGCCACCTCATTTTGACCCGTTTCTCGGCTACTAAGCTAGGTACCTATTTGAACAAATAAGACATTAATTAAGATTACAATTATATTGTACTGGTGGTAGGACCTCTTGTGAGTCCGCACGGGTAGGTACCACCACCCTGCCTATTTCTGCCGTAAAGCAGTTTATGCGTTTCGGTTTGAAGGGTGGGCGCAGCCGTTGTAACTATACTGAGACTTTAGAACTTATATCTCAAGGTGGGTGGCGCATTTACGTTGTACATGTCTATTGGCTCCAGTGACCACTCAGCACCAGGTGGGCTGTGAACTCGTCCAACCATCTAAGCAATAAAAAAATAAAAAGATATCGATTATTCACCGTCCTTTCAATTCAAACGTTCTTAATCTTACGTAATTCTTATTTTAATTAAAAATATGGCTTTGTTCCATACTGCGTTCATTAAGAGGCGGTCTAGACATCTTTTTGGTGACTTGCAATGTGAATTTAGAATTAACTAGTGTGTTGTTTTTCTCTTTCTTGATCTAGGGTTTTGAAAGGATAAGATAAGTCTCGTGGCAGGTAGCGCAGGTAGCGCAGGTAGGCATTTACGTTGTCTGTGGTGACCACTTAACACCAGGTTGACCGTGAATTGGTCATCCATCTTAGTAAAAAAGTATACACTTATATGTACACTTATGTATACTGTTCGTCATATCTATTAACGCATACAGAAGATCATTGAACTTTGAATGAAATTAAGAGTTTACATAATACAATAAGGTGCGTACATACATTGTCAGTTTTTGCACTTCATTCCATATTAGTACACTTTACTGCTCACGAAAAATGACAAAACACCAAATATATATGTGTTTGATATGATCTAAATATTGTCCATTCAATGACGCCCGCCAACATCACCACTTTAATACAAATAAGCGTACTCTTCTTAACGTATCCCCAATTGTTTGCCTAGTAAGTATAAATAATTCTTTCAATCCTGAATAGTATGTAAATATACACGGAATCTTTTTTTTTTTAAATAAGTCAACGCAGTGAACAATGACCACAAATTGACTTGACAGTTTTATTGTTAGATATGAGAAGTCGTGGGTTATAAAAGTTTATTTTCGCTTCGGCATAGACTGAAATTTCTAGAATATTTATTTATTTATTACACTTCATTTCAAATTTGCATTGGCAGACATAATGCCTAAGGCATTCTATACCAGTCAACCAAAGGTAGAGCAGAGTAAATAGTGGTAGGTACAATATTATTAGAATATCCATTGGGCTACCACACCACCGACTACACCGGTATGTAACGTTAGATCTAAACGAAGAAAATAGAATTCGTGCTTAATTTTTATTCAGATAGGCAAACGAATTCATGATCCATTAATAATTTGAATGTTGCCACGGTTAAACGTGGGAAGTGAATCCCAATTGGGTGTATGCAACGGCCATCCGACACTCCAAAACGAAAAAATAATTAGATGTGCAGCCAAAACAACTATATTGATTGTACTTTATCCTTTTTTTTTTAAGGCTGGGGAATCCGTTTACGGATACCCGGTCGAGAGTACCTATTGTCGATTGTACTTAACCCTACCAGAGGATATGCTAATCAGCAACAGGTTCACGAAAGTGGTACCTAAAATTTCAATTTTCATCTCGAATCACTGTTAATAAAAGTGGCTATTGCCTAATATCTTTCAATTATTGTCACTAAATTAAGTAGCAGGTCGTAAACTTCCATTAACATACATTTTTTTTATGATTGCTCCCGTGATAGTTATACTTTATTATGCAAAAGATCAATGACTTAACAAAGGACCTAGCAAAAGGAGAATTAAAAAAAAACAAATAACAATGTAGAAAACGTATTTCTCCTTTTTTTGTTTGAATTCTGTTATGAAACTCAAAAGGATTCATGATTCATTTGTACGCCATTGTCAGCACACTAATTATACGAAGAAAAAACTCGACTATTTGACAAAGAAAATAAAATTTGTTTAGGATCAAGAGACTTGTTTAAATTTAGTCTGTTAAAAGTTAAAATACTATAGCGGAACCGTACATTAATAATAAACTAGAGGTCCCGCAGTAGTCGAAATTCGACTATAATTAATTGGAATTGTAAGTTTGTACACTATTATGATTGTATTTTATACTTCTATAATCACAAATTTCGCCAAGGCTACACTATATAAAAATATTAATACAGACAAACAATATTTAATATATTCTCAATTTGACCACAGACGTCAAGAACAAAAGTTTGACAGTAAATAGAATGCATGCGTGTCTGCGTCAAATACATGGTATGTAGGGTGTGTAATGTTTTCTTTATTGATTTAATGTATCTTTTATGCATTATTTCAAAAAAATATTAGCATTGCGCACTTCTTCTCTATATTCTCTATAAGTGTGGAAAATTTCACACTCCTCCGTCCGCGCAATTTTCGTAAAAAGGGATACAAAGCTTTTGCTTCACGTATTAATATATAGATAAAAAATCTTTAGTTTCTCTTACAATCAACTGTCAAGACACGAATACAATGTTTTTGTTTAATCCTATGATGAATTCAATTTCGTATTTTCACTGTAGTTCTGGTTCTTTATTTACGCATAGTTTATCCTATTGAGTTGAAACTTTGTACTGTTTTTCATAGTACGGTGAAGGTATAATAATAGTATAGTATCATTGCTAAAGCTTAAATTATCACTAACAATATACGTAATATATATATAGAATCTCAGCTTTAATAGGCGTGGCCAGTGTTACAACACCTGAGACCATCAGCACCAAAATGACCTAACCCATAACTTTTTATAAATTTGTTCTTAGATAATGCAATATATTTAAAACATTATCAATTTTGATGCAAAACCGGCTTATCCCTAGTTTGACCCATAGACAACAGATGGCTTTGTAAAAACTTATTTGGGCGTGTATTGTTTTTGCCAACGAAGCAGTGTAAAAGTAAATTTCAAACCTCATTATTTCCATACTAACTATGATAAACTTAGGCTACTTTTGCGTTGACGGCCTCATATTTGTAGGTATTACTCTTGATCATTGAAAGCAACCCGCGAAGCTTATATTATTCTAGACTTAAATCTTGACATTATTTATTGTGTCCTCGAAGACGAACTATTGTTTTATTTGCCATTAATCGTGAGCAATAAACGTCTCAATGAATAATTAGGTCGTAAAATAGATTCGTCCTTTCTCTCGTTTGCCATTGAGCAATAAATTATACTTTGAAAATTGAATTGAAGTCGTTTTAAACATTATAAAAAAACATAAGAAGTTATACTATAAATTTTTTTTTGACGGCCGTCTGGTGTAGTGGTACGTGACATGGTCAGTACACAAGGGGGTCGCGGGTTCGAATCCCGCCAAGGGAAGATATTTGTATGATAAATATAAATGTCTTTTCCAGGGTTATGGATGTATATTAAATATGTGTATGTGTATAATAAAAATCTTATATTTATTTCCGTTATCTGGTACCTGTAACACAAGTTCCTTACGAACTTATCACGGGACCAGTTAACGTGGCGTGACTGTTAGTAAATATTTATTTATTTATTTATTTATAAAAAAAAAGAAGGAAATGTTTATTTCTACTTTAAAGCTTTTGGGTGTGAATAAATACGTTCTGAAGAATGTTCTTATCTTCTTCTTAAGGACATAGGTTATTTAATTTTAATGTTTCTAATGAGAATTTTTAAATACTCCTTTACGATTAACTATTTTTATGAATACTCTATATTTTTATACACTCCATCTGTCTATGCGTTCACATTCGTTTAGCTCTGAAAATAAACGCTTTTACCATACAAAGAATTTGAAAACAGAACGATTGAAACTGTTACTGTTAATTTGTGAGTGCTATCTGGAAATTCATTGAATAAAGAAAAAAAACAATGTGTTATAAAGAGTAACGATGTGTCAACAGTATCCTCTCTTAAAAACAAAAGTTGACTTAATTTATTTAGGTCATTATAGTGCTGATAATGAATGTGGTGTTTGCTTCTAAAATCGAAGCGTCTCTTGCCTTTTGATGCTCGTGGTGGAGAAATAATCTAAAACATAAAACACTCAGGTACCATGAACCAAGATTGGCTACCGTCTAGATTAATTAGCATTCATCATTAGCGTTTTTATTCATGAATTTAAAAAACACAATTCGTAATAACAATATTTGTTTATATCTTTAAATAATTTAAGAAAATAAATACTTTTCAAGTAAAATAATTTCTGAGTCAAGTTTAACCTTTGTATATACACCCGTCCGGGCGTATCTGTAATAAGCCACATAGGCTACCAACGAAGAGGCAAGAAAAAAAATCTGTATATTAATTAATTATTTTAATTTCAGCGAGGATACCTTGAAACTTTCGGATATCTGAGCAAAAGTCGACCTGAAGTTGGAAATCTTATAATGGACGGAAACGAGCAATCTTACGAAGACGATTTCCGGATCGCGATCAAAACTTTACAAGTTAGTATTATGGGTAACAAAAAGACCTTCATTAACATATTATATTTTCTGGTACAACTAAGAACCTTCAAAATAAAATGCTGTTCAGATTTTTATTTTTATTTTTACCTCTAGGGCTTGGCTCTGTTCACCTTGTTTCAAATATTTAATAATAATTAATATACTAACTTTAGAAATTATTCGTACCGAATTAAATTTTCCCTTATTTACCTACTTGAACTTCGTTATTAATATGCCAATTAAATTTGATTTTTTTTTAGGAATTCGGAGGTATTCCTGTCACAGGGGAGCTAGACGCAGCGACAAGAAATTTAATGAAACAAAAGCGGTGTGGTAGACCAGACAGAGAAGAACAGGATCACGAAAATCGAAGATCGAAGAGATTTGCCGTCCAGGGAGCGAAGTGGAAACACACCAATTTAACATGGAGGTAATTTCTTTACTTAAAATTTGTGCACAGCGCCATCTATTATAATTAAAGTGAATCTCAGTGCTGACATCTAGCGAGAGTTTTAAACGTTTTATTTTAGTGTTTCTACTCGTCACTAGATGGCAATACTAAAGTTTTAATTTCGAACCAAAGTAGCCCTTGTCAGATTTTACATGAATCGAATAGTAAAAATCCTATTTTAAAACGTTTTGCTTTTAAATCTGATCTAATTTGTTTTTTTTCTCCTTTGATCAATTATCGTCATAAGCTTAGACATCCCCTGTAGAATTTGGGTCTTCTTCCTCAAGGCTCACCGCAATGTCATTCTTTATCGTCCTTTGTGATGGACCTTCATAGCCGAACCTGTGAACCGAATGGTAAACAGTCGACGTCACCCTAAGCACGTCATTACGGATCCTCCCGATTCATTAACGGTGCTTTTAGGTACCTCAAGCACCGGTCACAGTCCTCGCCGATCTCGTCGCTTGCGACGAAGGGCTCGACGAGTACATTAACGCATAGACACAGTCCACTGAGTTTCTCGCCAGATCTTCTCAGTGGGTCGCGTTTCCGATCCGATGGTAGATTCTGCGAAGCACTGGTCATGCTAGGTCCAGTGTTAGCAATACTCCCGGTTTGAGCCCCGTGAGCTCATCTACACGTCAAGGAGAAGCTAAAATTGAGAGGCTCTCAAGGCTATCAGCATAGGTAAAAAAAAGAAGGAAAAAAAAGATGGATCTTTTTGCTTTTATTTTTCACTTCCTATAATAGATTAATTAGAACCTGCTGCAACAATTGGAATTACAATGAAATAGAACAAAAAGAACTACGTGATTACTATATTGCACTATCGGCTTTTGACCAGACATTGAACAATGTAAATGTTCAAAAAAGTAATTTTAAAGAAGTACCGTAGTAAACTATGTACATTAGTAGATAAGGAGCGTAAATACTGCGTTTTACGATACTATTCCGAATGTTCTACTTATTTGCTTTAACGCCACATAAAATTGATGACAAATAATAGTTAAATCACGGACCTCGTAAAAGTTACGACACTTTCCTCGTGGCTTAATTAAAAGAATATGTCCTTTTGACGCCTGACGAGGTCGGATATATTTGACCAGAATAAATGAATGGAATAATTCTTGGAAAATCTTTTCATTTCATTATTTTCATTAATAGGATATACTATAATATATTTATATGCATTATTACAAATAGATATGAATAAAAAAATATGATTTATTTCTGTAACCGTCGATAGGCAAACTAATCCACATTCTACTATTAAATAAGCTTACATTCAAGGGTAAGTAAGTAATGTAAGTACCTAAGTAGTGCGTCTATAAGTAAGTGTCTTTAAGTAATAAGTAATGTGTCTTTAAGGTACGGACATTATTAAGAATACCGCTGCCCTTAAAACTTAAATTGTAATTGATTTAAACTTGAACACATGATTGCTTAGCGGCACAAATAGGTAATACAGTGATACCAACCCACCCGTGTAATGTAAAGTACCTTACCGTAGTAATTATGTAATTAAAATATGTTTGTTTGTGTGCTTAATTTTCTTCGTTAGGAAAACTACTCGCCAGCACCTTACTAAAAAACCAAGCTACTTATTTTTGAGGTCACATATATTATAATTACAATAATTATGATATAAATCTATTATCAATTATATCATAATGGTATGTACGTCAAGAGGCATTGTCTTTCAATCTTCGCTTTTGCCTATGTACATTGATAAAATTTATTTCGTATCCAATATTACAAAAGAATGGGTCTACGTCGGCAAAAATGAAATCTCCAGCTTACCTAGAGATAGTAACGTAAAAAAAAGACTCGCATACTTAATACGCGATTTATAAATTAACAAATAGATAGGTAACACTTTAATCAAAGTACATATTTTATACAACGAGATTGTGCTCCGATTTCGTCGTTTAATTAAATAAAAAAAAAACTTGTCAGGGTTACCATTTTCCAGAAATCATTAGAATTCTCTAAAGCGTCGAGGGCTGTTATATAAACGTAGGCTGCGTTCATGTTAGTCAGTCATAGCTCGTAGAGTTTATTCAACTTGATGTCCCACGAGTGAAACTCGAGTTAACCACTCGACGAGTTCGTATACGGAGCGGAAACAACCGCAGAACACGCGGATAATTTGAAAAGTTCAGAATCACCTGCACAGAGCGCTGTTTCAGTACAATTTCCTGCCGAATTAATGGTCTGTCAATATTGTAGCCCTCTATTACAGCTTGTTGTGCAAACAAGCAATAACGAGTGGCCGCCATCTTGCGGCCAGCTTACGATTATGTGTTGTCTTGTATTGGCAAGTTCCTCGACATTAAACAGACTTCGTATTTTTTTTTTTTTTTTTTATAAAAGTGCGTTTTCTTTTTAAATTTATGGCGTATTGAGAATCTTTCTTGTATATTGAATTTTTATAGTGTTTAACTTCGCTTCTATTGGCTACCAAATAAATGTATAAATCAAAACTTTTTGTCAAATTCCCAAAACGGAATTCAAAGAGTCGCAAAACTAAAACAAGTTACTCGAAAAACAACAATTTTTTTATACTTGTTGCCATATCAGAATATTCATAATGAAATGTAAACAAATGTAAAAGTGTCCGAGAAAGCCGATAGTAATAGATATTGCTTGAAAACAACATTATTGTTTTTGTTCTGTCGTTGACGGGTAAGTGACAGGCGCATTTCGCCTCCCGTAGCGCGATCTGCCATTGGCATTCATAACCAGACTAGGATTGTAACTGAATTTATAATATTATCACAGATACTGTCATTTAAATAAGTGATGCAGTGTTATGAGATTTGGAATTATTTAGATCGTAATTTAAAAATTCCGTAGTCAGAATTAAGCCCTCATTTCAGGACTTATATCGTTTTTTTGCTTGAAGCTTTTTGTAGCTACTTTATCTTTAATGCTTTGATTTTATATTGGTGTACAATTAAAGAAAATCTCCGTCTCTATTCATTGACTACATAGTATACGAAGTAAGATAGGTGTATCGGACAAACTGCTACACAAATGTATAACAAAGTTAAAAATGTTATGTTATAAGTATCGCTACTGCTGTATTATATATGCCGTAGGTAATTGTCATACGAATATAATTATTCTATAGCATTTATAGGTGTGGAATGCGGTATTTGGATAAAGGTATTTCTTGAAAAAAAAAACGACATGTGTTATTCTTGACGTTTTTTTTTAGATTCAAGTCAACAATTGAGTTAAACAACTTGAAACTCATTGAAAGTCTGTCTCCCTTTATTTTTCAACCAGTTAATTATTCCGAAAAGAAAATATGAAATAAGAAAATTAAATGATGCAAGACGCAAATTTGTGGTTCGACTTATTGTGGAACCTGTGGAACACATGGATCAGATAATCCACCCCCCCATAACTAATAAGGATTAGGATTAACTTAATCAAAAACAGAAACTACTACACTTAATACTTATTTAAAGAAGAATTGACAATTATTTAGATAAACGTTAATGTAGAAGTCACTCGAAACTGTACAAGTGACTTTAGGATGGTTGTTAAAATTTGATTACGATAATAGACCATTATTTAAATTAGAGATAATGAATAAACTAAATGGTTGTAATAAACTAACTGACGAGCACGAACTACGACAAACAACATTAATTGCAGTCAACTCGCGCTCGCCACCTAGGGCATCGCCATTCGCCAATTGTATTGCCAGCGCTTGAAAATTTCAATAATTTAAGAAATTACAAATTTCAGTTAAATAATTTTCTTACTCTTACTACATCGATATCAATAAAAAACAACAAACAATACAAAAAATATCTAAAAATTATGAACGTGGCTACGTAGTAGTAGAATCTGAATTTATAAATAGAGTTTATGTATTATATGTTCATCTAAAACTCGCGAACCGTCAGCCTAATTGATATGAGACTTTGCGTACATATAAAAGGCGACATGACCAGTCCAATGACCATAACTACTTTAAGGCCGGATAGGCGGTAACGGTAGCAGTGAATTTTATCTGTTCAACCATGGGTCGAATTGAAATTAATTTTTGTAAAAATACATGCAGCATTGAGCACCAACGAATATGGCTATTAGGTGAAGCGAAAAATTAAAGTTATAATATAACAAAACGACATTGCCAACATTTCGTTTACACATTTAAGCTGCGTGAACATTTTTTGCCTAATCGAAACGAAATTAGTGCATTAATCTGGCAACATCGGCCGACACTCCCCGTATGGCATCCCGCTGCCGAGAACTGGGTCAACATTTCAATATAGGAGGCATTTCACAATTTCTATTGCTCTTTATTGCGACGTAATAAAGAGCTTATCATTCGTCTGTTTATTGTATTAATCTGAAAAGATCCGGGAGTTATCTCTCTGTTAAAGAATTCTAACTCAGCTTGAGGAATTGAGATTATTAAAGCTGTTAGATTTGCTGCTGAAATATAGAAGCCGACGGGCTTTCGTGAGCGCAAATATATGTTTAAAAAGGTTAAGATCTAATTGAATATGCAATTTCGAAAAGGGCACATGTCGCATATTTTGTCAAATACGTTTTTTCATATACATGTAGTTTTGAGGCTTACCTACACCCATTTTATAATAATTCCAGTAATTTTCAATTGCTAATTAACACTAAAATATATCTCAAAAGTTAATATTTTAAATTTTACGCTGCTTTAGAAAAAAAAAACAGTTTTTTTTCATTTCCTGAACATTTTACATTTTCAGAGATGTCCCTTTTTCGAAATTGCATATTCAATTAGTAAATAATACATAAAATAATTATATTTTGATTTAATGTATTATGCACGATTGCTATTGTTGCAATTCTGCTAGCTTAAAGATTTTTTATTTATTCGTTTGCTGACTTATATCTGGTAGCCGGAGTCAATGCACATCTTCAACTCGGCATACTTACGGAACGGATGGACTTACGGAAATACAGTTATTTACTGTAAA